ACACACACACACACACACACACACACACACACACACAGAGACACACACACACACACACAGAGACACACACACACAGAGACACACACACACACACACGCCATCACACGCCATCACACGCCATCACACGCGATCACACGCGATCACACGCGATCACACCCCGTCACACCCCGTCACACCCCGTCACACCCCGTCACACCCCGTCACACCCCGTCACACCCCGTCACACACCGTCACACACCCTCACACACCGTCACAGACCGTCACACACCGTCACACACCGTCACACACCGTCACACACCGTCACACACCGTCACACACCGTCACACACCGTCACACACCCTCACACGCCATGACACGCCATTACACGCCATCACACGCCATCACACACCATCACACACTATCACACACCATGACACACCATCACACACCATTACACACCATCACACACCATCACACACCATCACACAGGCACACACGCACAGCACACACGCACACACGCGCACACACGCGCACACGCGCACCCGCGCACCCGCGCACCCGCGCACCCGCGCACCCGCGCACCCGCGCACACGCGCGCACGCGCGCAGGCGCACACGCAAACACGCGCGCACACACGCGCACACACGCGCACACACGCGCACACACGCGCACACACGCGCACACACGCGCGCACACGCGCGCACACACGCGCACACGCACTCACACGTGTATACACCTATACACATACACACACGTACACACGAACATACATACATACGTACATATGTACGTATGTGCACACATATAGTCCCTGCCACGCATGCGAGCTAGCTAGTCCAAAAACTGGATAAAGCCTGCGAGGCCCGTTGCCTATGCATTGTGCAACCCCAAACTACCCGTTGCTGCAGAACGGCTCGACCTCGAAGCGCCTCCGCCTGTAGGCTACGAGCGGCGGACCTTGATGGTATCACACAGCAGGGCTCACGTCTGCAATCACTTCCGTCCCCACTACAACAGGCATCGAGGCCAGACCCTTTCGAAGTTCATCTTCTGACTCTAAGCCATCCCTTCAACTCAGAGCACCTGAGTGTCGGCGCGCCCACGCCTCATTCTCCTCCTGCTGCTTGGGTCTATGACCGTGGGTCTGATATGCCGTGTCAAGAACGCTCTGTTTCGCTGCCTGCAACCTCCGTCTTTCCTCACGACGCGTGAAATCCTCCAACTTTGCCGAGCTGCTTTCAAAAAGCCCCACGCACTTACACAAGCCACGTCCCGAGTTTGAACCTTAAACACACATGTGTGCTGCTGTCCTCGAGAATCTTCCACTCGTCCTGACTTGATCAGGAGTTTGCAAAGCTTTCCAGACTTCGGACATGGAAACGTGAAGCTTGCCTCGGAGGTCTGTCAGTAATGCTTGATGGCACTGTGTTATCTGCGCACTGCTGTTGAAGGCAAAGCGCAAGCTTGCCATGGAGGGCCGCAGCGAAGTCATATTCTAAGCTAGCTCTCGACACGTTCGGAGGCCTCCCACCCAGGGCTTCAAATGTCTTCAAAGCATGGGTGTGAAGATTCATCTTGAATGAACATTGCGCTCTCCACGCAACGCTCAGCGCGAAAAACAGCCGTTGCAACATGATGACTGCGGGCTTGAAGCTCTAAAAGAAGTTGAGACATGCTATGTCGCTATTTCATTCCTTACCAGACTCCATCGAGCCTGCGTGCGTGGCGGACAAGCCATCACGGAGGCAGATGCGTAGAAACCCATCCTGACACTAGTACCTAAAGCCTGGCTTTGTGCCGACGGGTGGCATATTATTGTCCGACGAGACCTTACCATTAAGATAACCATGTCGGCTGTTATTAGATCAATGCAAATGACGTACAAGGTTCTAACTGTAGCTGCAGAACATGATGTGTCAGCGTCTGTGGCTCGGGCTGCTGCTAGCATTTGCTAAAGCTAAAGTGGAAGTGGCCGAAGCTGCAGCTTGAGCCGCCGGAACTCAGCCCGAGCAAGCTTCGCACATGTAAAGCTTCAAATAGCTTCCCAGTACTGGGGATTGGAAATTCACCTGGAGTTAGACACAGTGTAAAGTTGCTCTTGCCCGTAGGAGGAGGAGACCTTTGGCTGGCCAAGACACATGTCAAACCGGGCTTGAATATAGCCTCGCAGGTACTGAGGAATTATGTGTGAGGACCCCCAAGAAATTGAAACGAAACTAAAGCCCAATTACATGGTGAGAGCTACCTGCGACCTAGCATAGGGGCCTTCACAATTGGAATAGGGTTTGGGTGCCCAATAAACGATAATTGATAATTACATTACCTAAGGAACCCTCAAAATCAGCAATATGGGAACTCAAAGAATAGTCTGCATTCCATGCTGCAAGGCAGCTACGCGAATGTGCTGTTCAGCATCAGTGTCGGCGAAGCTCTCAACACATGTGACGAGATGCAGCCCCTGCTAGGTACAGCCCTCGTGAGTTGAAGCGGCATAGGACAGGCGGGCTTCACTGCGAGCTTTTCCAATCTGCGAAACCGATGACGGTGTGGAACGTTGACCAATGCAGGGCGCCAAAGCCCGAGCACGGGCAACTCCGTAACCCAAGGCTCCAACGAAGCCCGAGCACGGGCAGTCCGCCATGCTTCCACAGTTTTCTACGTCCCTCACTTGCAGCAGCTGCAAGCCAGCTGTACAAGCTATCCGTCTATGCAGAATCAAGCGGACCACAACAAAAAGCCGCAGGAGCTTTGCCCGCGGTGCAGGTCTTGTACATTCAGGAAGAGCAGTGTGGGTGTTCAGCCCCATACATCGAAGATGACCCGTCCCTTCTCCTGCAAGTCCGTGAGCTTTGTGAAGCCTGTGGACGCGTCTCCTTTGTCACCTTTGCGGCTAAACAAAAACAGGAAAATTGAGGCTCATCAAGCTTGGCGGCCTTTTGCACCTTAACTTTGGTTTAAATCCAATCAAATCAAGTGGCTCAGCATATCAACCAGGACATTGGTAACATCCTTGGCCAAAGTGGAGGCAGAGCCACAGATGTAGAAGTATCCAGCTGCGTCGCCGTCATCCAGAAGTCTCAAAATCTCTGCAGAATTCCTTCGAAGAGCATGATAGACGTATTCTTTCGAACTTCCGTCCGTTGGACGCGAGAGGGACACCTTTAGCGAGCACAGCCCCTCCTCGTGCCATCGCTGAAGCAGAGCCTTATGCAGGAAATCCGAATCATTCCGACATCCGAAATAGAGGTGCACCAGTCCTGTCTGCATGCCCTTCTTTCGGCAGACCTCCCTTTCCTGTAAGAAACCCAGGAAAGGCGCGACTCCTGTGCCTCCGCACACGCAGGCAATGGGCTTCGTCGGATCTGCAGGGAGTCGCATATGCGGCGCTTCCTTGATCTTGCAGATCACCGACGTGGCTGCCGCCAACATGGAGGAGCAAAGGCCCTCTCGGATAGTTTCTTGACCGTTTGGCGGAAGGGCCGTGTATGTCGCCACACGGCAACAGAGCTCCACATTCTTGCCGCGGGACATGGGCGAGGATGCAATGGAGTAAAGCCGCGATTGCATCTTCGGAGCCACTTCCACAAACCTGCTCAAAGTCACCTTCAAGGAAGCATACTCCTCGAAGACGTCCAGGATCGAAAGATGAGCCTTGCTCCAGCGGTCGTACTCCGAGTCTTCTTTGGTCAAGGTGAGCAGCTTCATCTTGGCAGCCTGCACAAGAGGGCACCGGGGGGGGGGTGCTTTGTAGCAGGATACGCCAGGCGACGCCAGGCCTCGCTGGCATTTGCTACGTGGGGCAAAAGCGAGGCCAAGGTTTCCTGGGACGGGAGCGCCGAGAGGTCAACGTAGTAGGACAGGATCTCGCCAACGGCGACGGGTCCTGCGCTACGAGTAACACACATCTGGCCCGCCGGGCTGAGCGCCGGTTGTGCACAGGCTCCTGCGGGCAACTCCTCGTCCTTCACACCCTTGACGATCACCAAGGCATCGGACTGGACTCCGAGATGGTGACAACAGCGGAGGACCTTAGCAAAGCGCACGGCGCCTTCCCTCCCTTCGGCTTGGCCGTCTGAGCAGCTCACCCGTGCTTCCGCGTTCCTGCGAGAGCCGTGTCCAACAGTGGCAGTGCTAGCAGCTAGCACTCTATGAAGGCTCTTCCAAAGCTCCTGGGGCGCACTTCAAGGTGGTCGCCACAGGCATAGGAACAGCCATGGGGTCGTTCAATCACAATTTGTCGCACCGAAGGGCTGCTTGCATCGCTTTGTAGGCAGAGCTCCTGCCACCAGCCCCCACCCCCCCAAACTACGTATCTTTGCCAAGCTCGCCTGGCCTCGTTGATGCTGACAGAGCATGTCGCGTATCCAAGCCTACATGGGAGCTGCGCGGCTCTCTGCAGACTCTCCGCGCAAGACTCTCCGCGGGCGCCCGGGCCCGCCCGCGCCTTTCTGTAAAGTTGGCTTGCAGCGACGTGGCGCCGGTGGCGCCGGGGCAGGGCTCCAAGCTCAGCAGCTCGGGCAGTGCCTCTGCAGGCAAAAGCGGAGCACTCCAAAACAGCCGCAACTTCAACGGAGAGGAAGCCGAAGGAAGCGCGCGCGCGCTTGGCGCCTCGACATGGCTTTGCCCCTCGCTTTCCTTCACGAGCTCTTCGGGAGACGAAGCAAACTGAGCGAAGACTGCCTGAGCTTAGCCCCACTCTGCTTCGCAACCAAGTCGTTGAAACGCATCTAGCTAAGTCCTGCGGGAAGATGCGCACAGTGCATGGAAGTCGCCTTGCGCCATGTTCGCAGCTGGCGCTCGAAGACATCGTTTTTGTCAGCCGCCTGCTCTGCGGAGGTGCTCGCACTTTAAATGGCCGACGTTCGAATCTGTCATGCCTCCAAAGGCAGCAGCCGGTTTGCACCAGCGCGGATCATCAGCTTCTCCACGTCTCTTGCGGACTGGCGACATCGAAGCGCACATGGGGCATGGAATCTGCGACAGGCTCCCAAGAAGCTTTTGCCTTCACGAAGGTGGACACCCAATTGGAATTCCCGACCTCCGCACGAAAGGGCGCTACCAGTACAGTAGCCGACGCAAGAGGTCCATGAGGAGTCGAGGCCGAGCAACACCAAGCACGGCAAAGCTGAGATTCCTCGATCCTGACTTCACAGCGAAAGCGCAAAAGCACACAGAGGCTGTGGAATCCCAAGTACAAGTGGCAAGTCGCAAGGGTCGCAAGCGCAAGAAGAAAAAGGAGAGGACCGAAAAACACGTAGGCGATCCGAACTGGCCAAGTTGCCCTCCTCGGCCGCAGGGACTTCCGCGAGTTCCTTGAGGAAGTTCGCAGCGTTCCTTGAAATCACGAGCACGACTGGGACGGCAGGGACAATGTCTGCTATTGGGCAGGTCTTCTTCAAGCCAAGTTGCGGCGGTGGGTGGCCGTTGTATCTTCGAGGCAAGGAAGATTCAGAGCAAACAAAACTCCACATGGCTCAGCACAAGGCGGAAGGCCATTAAACACTACCGAGAAGCGTTGCCACAAGGACCAAGACGATGGGAACTTCGCCAGTCTCGGTTTTGAAGTCCCCAGCCAGTAATGCAGCTGGCTGCACCTGGCTCTTTACCACAGAGATTCCCCTTTCACCGCTGGCCCCATACTGCGCCTCGTCCAGGGATTTCAGTTCCACTGGAAATTCCCGCTGCTTGGCGGCGGCCACGAGATCCTGAGCAGCGCTCAAGGTCGTCCCGAACTCGCCGCCCCACCTCAGCACTACATGTAGCGTGGACAGCCACCCTGCGGGTTTGGGCATCTTGCGACTGGGGCACAGGACGAGCAGAGCGGGCCGTGGACCGCTGGAGGACACGGACGCTAGACGGCCTCGCAAGAAGGCAGCGGCCTAGCGCAATAGGTTGGGAGCCCCAGGTGTAAGGGGCCGCGACTTCGTCTGGACAGGAAGGACTCTGCGGGATGAGTTGCAGCTGCGGCATCAAAGGCATCCTCGTGCAATTCTCCTGAGCTTCGATTCACTCTCATGACAGTGACAGGTGACAGCACAGGCACAACGTGGCAGAGTGTGGGAGAGCCCTGCTAACGCTATTGCAGCTGTTCCCGCTGTTCTCTTCTGCCAGGATGCCGACGCCGGCAGCCAGGTCTGCTGCCGCCGGCTCGTCATACTCCCGGCTCGTAAAGTTCATCCACACGCCGCCACCCCTCGCACGTGCACATATCAGATGACATCTCCCTCTCACATTTCCGCAGAGCGCTTTCGGGTATCGCATCTCTGCGTGCGCTTTCGCTCTCTCTTGCCGGTGGAAAGCTTCCGAGATTCACTCGAGCATGCGGGTGCCTGTCGGCAGGAAGAGGTGTGGCGATGTCTTTGGGGTCGATCTTCACCTGTGTTCATCTGAACTTCGGGCCCAGCCCCGCTATGCGGAATGCAGGCGAAGGGCGGGCTTGTCCAGAGAGCAGCGCACGTAGAACCTCCTAGCGGCCAATGGGACCCGGGCCCGGGGCGCGGCGGAATCCCCCCCCCCAAGAGGCTTCTGAGGCCGTGCCTGAGAAGAATACATATCACAGTCTTGGCTTGCGTAATGGCGAAGAGGTTGCCTCACGACAGGAGACAGCCACCAAAAAATTGATAGTTAACTTCAGTCAGGGGCATTTCCCCGCCTATGCAGAGACGCCTTCCGCCGCCAAAGGGAATGAACTGGAAGGGATGGAAGTCCCGCATCTTCGCCGGCTCAAATCGCTCCGGAATGAAGTCCTTGCTGTTGTCGCCCCAGTACTTCTTACCTCAAAGGGCCAGGCTGAAAGGAGACGTGGCTGGGCCTTCGCTCCAAGACCCCGGCTCATGGAGATGCCCATGATGTGGATCGCCTAAACAGAGCGAGTGCTGCCACCCCAGAGACTTGACCCCGACACCCCGCTTTGCTCCCGGCCACCCAGGAGTTCCCTGCAGAGAGGCAGCGTGTTAACTGAGTGTTCTGATGTGCGGCGTCGCTGCGTCTCGCCCCTCGCCTCGGCCGGAGTGGCCTCCGGGGAGCAGCGTGTACTTCCCGCACTCCACGGGCTGCGTGAGCCCTCGCTGCGCCACCTCCGGTCGCGACCGTTCGATTGCCCTCCTTTTTCAAGGCCCTCGCGCGCCTGCACGGGGGCACTCAAGCGGAGGGTCTCCCGGACGATCATGTCCAGGTACTTCAGGCGCCTCACCGAGCGTCAGTGAGTCAAGTGCCGCAGCGCTGCATGCCTTCAAGTTTCTTCTAAACACCCCGTCCTCAAGTCTTCTCCTGTCGGCTCCCGATCATCGCCCTGAAAGACCTGGCGCAGCTCGGTATGGAGCTTCCTTAGATCCCAATTGAGAAAGCCAAGCTGAGAAGACTTCTGGCACTGGACTCTGTGACCAGTCTGTGACTGTCGCGACTGAATCGCGGGCCCTGGCCCTTGTTTCGTCACTTGCAGCCGAGGCTCTTCTCCACTTGCGGGCTGCGGCCGATGTGGTACAACGCCCAGGTGAGGAGCAACGTGGTCGTCTTGTGTCCAGCGACCAGCCTTCAGTCCCAGACGCGGAGCCGCAGCATGCGGCAGGCAGCGATCCGATGAGTGAAAAGCATCAAAATCTTGGTGCCCGAGTCGGGAGCATGGTCAAGAGCTGGTCTTGAAGCTCCGACTGCGTGAAGCTGCGGCCGGTAAGGGGGCACTTCGCCGCGATCAAAGCATGCAGCCTCTCAAAGAGCCGATCGGAACAGAACACGCAGAACACCAAACGTGCATCAAGCAAGTGGAGGAGGGGAGTTGCCGAGGCCACGGCAGGCTGTTGCTGGAGCCGGTGCTCTTGCCTTCCCTCCAGGGCCAGGGGGCGAAAACTTGCGAGAGAGGAAAGAGAGGCTCCAGTGCTCCAGCCCCGCTGCCTGCATGCCTCGATGATTTCATCGAGCATGCCGGTCAACTTGCCAAGCTGACTGCCGAGCAGAGCAGACTTCGCTGTCGCAGACGTTCTCCGTGAGCCGCTTGCAATGTGCAACATCTGAAAACATCTCGTGACGGATGTGAGAGATCATGAGTCTCCGCCTCTTGAACCAGCGCCTTTGCGTCCCCAAGACATCCTCAAGGCTACAGACTGTGCCAGTTTGAGGATTGTCAACGCAGTATGCAACTCGGCTGCGAATGCGCCGTAGAGGCTGGTGCTGATGCCTGCATCTCCCAAGCTCAAACCTCCCTGCGTCTCTCAGTTGCCAGTAGCATGCTTGCAGCTGCTTGCAATGCTATGCAATGCTTGGCCATCCGCTGACTTCCAGCACTTCTTCGAAGAGCGGGAGAAGCTCCGGCATGTCCTCATATTTATTGATTTAACTGCCATCTGCGAGAAGGCACTCGAGTTGTGGTCACAGAGGCAAAGCCTTGCAAAGCTGTCCAAGATTCTTCTGATTCCATGCATTGCAGATCGTGCCCAAACCCGACGTCACAAATGGTGTCCATGGTGGTTCGCTCGATCCAGTTCTTAGTCGCAAGATGTCGCAAGGAGGGAATGGGGGCCATCAGGATTCCACTTGCGGAACTCTAGACTCTAGCCATCTAGCCTTGCTGAGGCTCGAAAATGTCGACGGTTTCTGTGGTCGTACTGATCTTCTCCTGGCATCTGCGTCTGCGGCCTTGCAGCCTTGCAGCCTCTGCGGAGGAGTGGGGGGGGGGAGGGGGGGGAATTTGTCCTTCAATTTCATGCCGCGCATGGCGAAGATGGGCACCAGCTTGTCAATGGCCTCCGGCGTCAGCTGCGCCTCCCAGCGACTTGTGACTTGCCAGCTAAGGCCGAAGAGAGGCCGCCCCCACACAGTGCAAGGCGGCGCCTGGAAGGTCTGGCGCGCGAACCTCAGCCCGCCCCGCCCCGCCGTGCACGAGGCCTCTGGCCTCTCCCTGTCCTTTTTTTGAGCCTTTTTTCAGGGCCTTGAAAGCAGGGAGCTCGTCTGGGCTTTCGGCTCCCAGCGCTGGCCGTCGGCGATGAAGACGCCCTGCCCTGCCAGAGCCGGACAGCCGAAGACCTCCAAGAGCGAAGAGCGCGAAGAGCGAAGCGAAGAAGCACCGGCAATGCGCTGGCGGCAGCAGCTGCTCCGGCCTCTCTGGGAAGCCGCTTGTCGGGGATTTGGTTCACGATGTCCACGATCTCCGGATCCGCAACGACCTAAATTCCCAAACAGCGCCCCAAACACAAAACGACGCAGCTGTGAGCATCGTCAGGGCCGAGGGTGGGGCATAGACCACGTCATCGAAGATGCGCAGCTTCACGAGAGGCCCGTACCTGCCCCCCAGTCCCAGTCGCTGCCCTGGCCCAGGCGCGGAAACGTTGCTCTCTTTTTGGACGCTTAGATCCGCGCTTTTCCACCAGCGGAAAGCATTGGATCCAGAGGTCCGGGAGGCCTCAGCTGCAGAGACCGCCGCAGGCCGCAGACTGCCGGAGACTGAGCTGGGAAGATGGTGCGGGCCAAGGTGCAGTCTTTCAAATTCCCCGTTGTGGGGAGCGTCTGCCTCTCATGCGCGACTCTTCTACAAGTGCTCTCGTCAGAAAAACCTTTCAGTCAAAGCTGGAAGCTGCGAAAGCTGTTTGTCTGTGCAAGAGACAGAGGGACGGCGAGAGAAAGCCCTTTGCGTGCTGGCAAGCAACGGCTGCGGAGGATGCACCACAGACCTGGCGAAGATCGGAAAGGGCAAAGGGCTTCCCGAGCTTCCCGGCTACCCATTGCGGCCCTTGCGTGCGGGCCGGGCCGCCTTGCGGCACGCGAGCCAGCCAAGGTTCGCCAGAGGGGACCTCCGATTCCACGAACAGGGAGGTGGGCTGAGGTGGGCCTCAGCCTGAGAAGCCGAGTCTGAGGTCTGGGCGGATGAGAAGATCTCCGAATTTATAATGTGCATGGTTGCTGCCCCACCTCGGGAGCTAGAAGACAGCTCGGGAAGGAAGACATGCCGTCATTCGTTTCGATCAAAAAAACTCAGAATAATGTAAGTTCAACATGACGTTGAGCCCCGCGACTTCCACTTGAAGTTGCTGCCGTCCGTGCTGACCAACTCCAAGTCGATACTCATAGCCGGATTCTCGATGCTGGGCTTTGCCTGGCCCGTGGCCATGCGCACCCCTCCAAGCCCCAACTCCCCGCCTCCGAAGTCACTTCCGCCGGCACGGGGCTTAGGCTTCCCCCGTGAAACCAAGATGTGTGACCCGGGCCGTGGCGCGCCTTCTTGCTGCCACTTGCCAAGGTCTTGACATAGACGTTCCGCACGTCTTGGATGCTCTGAATCTCCTGGCCGTCCTTCCAGTTTCGTCACGCTCTTGGCCACAAGTCATGTGTGTATGTGTGTGTGTGTGTGTGTAGTGCGGGAATCCTCTGCGAAGAGGCGTCGGGTCGCATTGCCGGTGCATTCCTCAGACTTGGTTTCTCTGCTCACCCGATACAAGCTGGTTGTTGGTCGAGGGAAAAAGCGACCCAGATGCTTGGTGGAGTATCACGTCCTGCCCCCACCCCTGATTTGGTACCGAGCTGCAGCAGCACGTGCCAGCAACTTCGCCAGCGACACTTCCTTGTTTTGCACGGCATGCCCCGAGAATCGCATTGCTGCACGACTGTGATGCAGTACCGCCTCGCCAAGAAACCTGACTTCAAACTGTGACCCTCCCGTTCACACCAAGCATCCTCGTCCAGCCGCAGCACCATGGTACCTGCTTTGCCTGAGAGAGCCCGCCGAGACAGAACATGCCTTGCCTCCCGACGCTCGGGCCGCTGCCGTCAAGTTGGTCGATGATTCCGAGCACCACGGTGTTGGCAGTGCCGGTTCTGGCCCTAGTGCCTCGAAGCTCAGGAGGCGGCCGAAGTGGATCTAAAAATTGCTCGAAGGCTCCGCTCCGCTTCTTTTTGGCTTCCGCACGCTGCGGCCCGCGGCGATTGCCGCTCCGTCTGCGTCTTCTCCTCCGAGGTTGCCGCTGTGGCGCGCGCAGCCAGGCTCTGCAAGCAGCAGGCCCGGCCAAGCCGGAGTCTGCGTGATCCGTGCCGCACCGGCACCTACAAGTCCCAACTCCTGCTGAGGTCTTTGGAAGGGCTCTGCCTCGTGTTCGTACCAGCATGGCTTATGATAGAAGTCACGGAGCAGAGCACCTCAAATGGGTGGGCGGCGAGCGCCTATGACAAACCAATCGTCTTGCCTCCAAGCGATGTCAATCTCGAGGAAACCGGCATCCTCCAGCAGCCTGCAGTGCTCGTAGACGCCGGGATGGCCGTGTGCAACACGGTCACCCAGAAAGACATGGCCACCAGGCACCAAACTCGAATAGATCCCCTCAAAGACTTTGGTGTAACCGGAGCGGATCTGCTCGGCTCCTTAGGCGAAGCACAGCGGCACAGCACATCACTCAAGACTCCCAAACGTCCCAAACCCCAAATGATTCGGGTGTTGGACTCGGACTCTCTCTCTCTCTCTCTCTCTCGCACCTGCGGCCGTCGCAAGCCCGTGCTTCTCGGCGTAGTGGGCCGCAGGGGCGACGATGTGCCGCACGGCTTGGAGTGCGAGCACGCAGTCGTAGCCCGACACACTGCCTGCGCCAGAAAAGAACAGGACAAGAGAAAAACTGGCGAGGCCACCTGAGGGCCTGAGGAAGGCAAACGTGAGAGAAGCTCTCGACCCTTCCCGGCCTTCTGGGAGACCCGGCAGCGGCTCTCCACAGGACACTGCCGAGACAACGAGGTGCGCTTCCGGCACCTCCAAACCCAACGCTCTTGCCAGCTACTTGTATGCAGAAACCAATTGCGCATCACGCTGCCTCCGACGACGACACTGCCGAAGCCTCTGCTGCCCGGCGCAGCTTGATCAGTGCTGTTCTCAGGCGACCCTTGCATGCAACATCTTGCACTCGCGGAGCTGAAGTGATGCCACTGGCTGTTTTCTCGGCTTGAGACATGCGCTTCACGGACTGTTACAGAGGGGGTGTGGCCTCGTCAGGGTCGATGAGAGTGAAGTGCGCCCGGGGATATGCTGCGGCTACCGCTGCTGCAGACCGCCCGGTTCCAGCTCCCAAGTCCACGACACGCTTTCCAGAGAGCGGCGGCAGGGCGTACACGAACTCGCCTTATGCGATGCATGCTTCCTTCAAAGGAGGCGGGGTGGACCTTCCCCAGTTCTGTGCAGCAGGAGGGTCTGCTAGACACCAAGACCAAGCCAGCCAAGCCAAGTATCGCAGGCAGTCTTGGCAGAGGGGCAAGCGCCGCGCCATCTGCAGGTCGTACCAGTCGTCATCAGCCCAGAAACCCGACGGAGGCAGAAAAAGCAAGTTCTTCGTCCTCGGTTGCTTAGACAAGTATGCCGTTGAGGAGATACTTGTTTGGCAAAGCCATGCGAAGCTCGAAAACTTGGCGAAGCCGGGGCGCCAGGTGCTGCACGAAGCAACTTGGGAAGCTCCGCGCTTCTCTCGTCGGTCCAGATTCAGATACCTGAAATCGCGGCGAGCTTAGCCGCTGCGAGCCGCTGCCCCAGGAAAACCCGCCCTGCCACGCCCGCGGGCCCCACGGGCCTCAGAGTGATCCAGCCTGCACTGGTTCCAGCCAGAGCAGCAAGTCGAGCGCCGCCGCAGGTCATGAGCGGAGACTCTATGTGGAAAGGAGTGTGGGGAGACAGCTGAGAACAGGCTTGAACCAGATAGGTCATCAAATCCAAGTTGATGTGTGGCAGCCATGAGGAGTACGTCTGAAGTAGAACCAGGCGGCGTCGGGAAGCTTGCAGGGTGAGTTCTTGGGTGTCTGTCCTGGCAGAGGAGACGTGCCAGAGGAGAGCCTGGGCCCTGGGCGATTCCGCTTTGCTGAGCCGGGCCACTCTTGGCTCTCGCTTGGGCTGCGGTAGAGGAGCAGAGACAGGATGAGACAGAGGAAGCCGAAGACGGGGCCTGAGCAAGCTCTTTTGTACGGCTGCGGCTACTCGGTTCTCGTCTGAGGCCGGTGCCCAGGAGGAGCGACCGCAGCCCCAAGGCATAGTCGCAATCTGACGAGAACGGACATGAGGACAACGACTCAAAAGACACTCTGACCGACTCTCCCTCCGGCTGTCCGAGTTCCGCCTGCATCGCAGCTGGGACCTGTGCCACCCTGATGGGAAGTGTCCTCTTTGCAGCCCGTGAGCCATCCGGGAATGTAAGCTCCTGTTCTTGTTGCTGTTTCGGAGCACGGACCTAGCAGCTAGCACAGAAAACAGCCACACCGTGGGAAAGTGTCCTCCAGCCATACCCAGCAGGTTGATCGGGATCTGGGCGATGGCCGATGCAGCTGAGGTCTTCTCGGACCGCACCGAAGCCAGCATCAAGCCAAAGGCCCCCGGCAGCAGCGAGGCACCCAGCATGTTGAAGACCCAAAAGGTGGAAACTGCCAGCCAGAAGTTCGTCGAGAAGCAGGCCGTGACGCCAAAGACCATGGCCAAAAGAGCACCTGTCTGAACAAACCCTTTGTTGGGCAGCAGTCTTCGAGGGAGGGGTGCCCGGGGGGCTGGGACCTATTTTCCGCACTGGGTGCCTGCGGCGAGCAACTTCAGCGTGGATCGCCCTGCCGCTCCCTTGTAGCCCCCGATGCTGTCGACGGCACCTCCCCCCAAGAAGACCCCAAAGGTTGGAGCCGTAAGGGTGATGACGGCCACCAGCGTGACCACGAGGCTGTGCACCTGGGCACACGCCGCGCCTTCAGACCCAAGCCCGACCTCGCGGAGCTCCTTGAGGCGTATCTGTTCCATGTAGGGCGTCGCCCAGAACTGCAGGCCACCAGACACAAAGAACAGCGAAGACACGCAGAAGGCCATCAAGGCATAGACTGGAAGGTTCTGAACGTTCTGCTGGGAGGCGCTTGCAGGAGGACGTTGCCTTGACATCAAGCTGACCTCCGGCTCCTCTGTCAGCTCAACTTCTCTTGCGTCTGCCCAGTCCGCTTGGTCCACGAAGCTTCCGGACGGGACCGAAACGAAGGAGAGCCGCACCCGAGATCCGCTCGATCCGTGTCCGAGTCCACCCGGTGAAGTGGCGTTGCCGATGAACTCCGAGGCAGCACACGCGAGGCAAACAAACGTTGCCCCAAACCACGCCAGGTTCACGCAGAAGACCGTCACCCAGTCCTCCGAGTAGCCTTCGGGAATCGCGGAATCGCTAGAGAACCGACTCTCTAAGGTTATCGAATCCCGGATCCGTGCCTGCGACAGTGTAGCCGATGACGAGGCCGACTAGGGAGCTGGCCTGCGCTGTTAGGCTGTTGGGTTCTATTTCTTGGAGGTGTTCTGAAGTGTCTGCGGCGGACCGAACTGTTTCGGCCTGCATGGCACCAAGCCAGGATGCCGCCTGATCCTTCGGCGCGTGCAGATCCACCCAGACGCTTCCGTACACGGCGATCCCGGCGTGGCAGATCCCGGAGATAGCCCTCAGAAGCCCAGCTCTCTCCTATGCCAGCAGCATCCAGCAGCTGCGTTTCAACTTTGAATCCAAGAGGCCGCGAAAGGACAAAGAGAGTGAAGGCGGAATCGCCAGACTCGTGCATCTTCGGGCCCATCACCAGGCCAAAGACGCCGAGCATGTTGCCGACCTCAGGATGCTTTGGCAGTCATTGTATATGTTAGGGCTTTCTGACACCGGCATGCAAATAGACCTCCTGCGTGTGACAGCACAGCAATCAGATGACAGATGTTGAAGGTCGTCGAGCGATGCAAGTTGGCAAACAGTAAAGAAGATCATGGTTGACGAATCCCAAACTGATCTTGGTATGCAAACCCCACATTGGTCAACCATCATTTTCTTTTCGGGTCCGGGGTTTGCCAATCAAACAACCTCTCGCTTTATGCACAGCAATCAAAGCACCCTTTGCATCCGAACGGGCGAGGTCGGGTCTGCAAGGTGCTGAGGGCGGCGCCAGACAGATCAAGAGAACGATCTTCACTTTCAAGCACTTCAGGAGGCAGGGAATCAACGGGGAGGCGATGGGCAGGAGCACGTACTCCTCAGATTAGCGGATAAACCCACGAGTGTGCGGACCGTTCAAAGTTTCAGGAGCTCAGAACCGAGATGTTATCTTTCGCACTTCCTGCTATTTGTTGCTCCGGGCGTCTTCCTCCTATCCTGTAGCTTGATTCCCAAACCGATGCCGAGCCCTTATGCCTTAAGATTCCTTCGATGATCCCAACTGAAGCTGAGCCACCATCGCATTGATGTAGCCGATATCCTCTGTGCTGAAACCGAGAGTCTTATGGAGGAAGTCCACGAATGCCGCAAGCGCACCTTCAAGTGGAGGGCCAGGCATCGAACGCAAAAATTTGTGGAGACAAAAACACAGTTTTAGATCGACGCACCCGGGGAAAGTGGCCACGGCCTGAAGACTAGGCCAATCATACTCAAAACGTCGTCGTCAACGACACAGCCCTGCTGCAAAATGACAACTTGCATCCCAGGTGCCCGAATCAAATTGAGCGCAAGCGGAGAAGCCTGTAAACAGCAGCAAATATCGAAAAGGTGCCGCCATTGCGTCGAAAAGGACGGCGACTTGCTATATCAGCACTCCGTCTTCAAGGCAGCTGTACACCTAGAACCCAAAAAACCTTGCTGTCCATGATGCAAGTCCAAGGCCTGCTCAGACAACCGGGTAGCAAACGACAACATAGACTTTGCAAGCCGGCAAACGGCTGAGGCAAACCTTGTCATCTTCACCTGTGCGGTACAAGTCCCATCGCAGAATATCTGACACCATCTCATCATCCTCGTTTGTGTTACAATCATCCATTATCATTATTGTCGTCATAACCAGCATTATCATCACCGTCATTGCCCGTATGTTCTAATCATCCTACCATCATCATCGCCATCATCCCTTCCAACCATCTGCCTCATCTCTTCGTGGTTGCGCCCATGACCCTGACCTTGATTGCATGCATGTTTGTCTGCGCGATCGTGATCATCAGACGCATAGGAAGAATAGCATCGCCAGCGCCATCAGCGAGATCTTCCCCAACTTTGTTATGCTTGCAGCTTTTCAATGTTGGCACGGCAATGAAAGTAGAGCACAAAGACCGTATCTAGACTCGGACTCACGCACCCAGGCTGGTGATGACCTTTGATTTTCCAATCAGTCGCGCTTTCGCATGTGCCGAAACATGTTCGATAAGAACGCACGACCTGGCGGTGCGAGAATGTTCAAACTGCTTTCACCAGAACCCTGTACCCCTAGAAGCTTGTCTTGAGGAGCAATGTTGAAGGTTGTAAAAGTTTCGGAGGCGAAGGGTTTAAGTGTTGACCGTTTGTGTCTGCAAATTTGTAACCTGAAGATGCTGCATGCGTGCGCGGGGGGCCTGGCAACTACAGGGCGGCTCTTGCTGGGCTATAAGGGGTATGACTTCCAGATTTGGGGATCAGGATGTGGGAAGTGTGGGGTTTAGGCTTGAGGGGGATAAAGTCGGTTCGGGCAGTCTAGAGGTTGCAGGCTTCTGCAGAAGGGCTTTGCTTTACATCACTCGGAAGGAGTATTCGGATGTTGCTTCTGTATAAGATTTGTACATATTTCTACGATATTATGTACTACACCATGCAGACAAAGCGCTCATGCCTCAAAACATCTCAAAACATGACACCTACATTTTCACACCTACTTCTGCCCCAAATTCGAAAACCTAGCCACTTAAACAAGTCGAGCTTGAAAGACACAGGATCCTGGCTTTATCTCACCTTAATAAACCTGAAATCATACCTGCATGGACGTAGCAATGGAACAGGCCCAAACGCGGGCATGTAATTAGCAACTTTCACAAAATGAAGCCTACATACGCACGCAGTTGGCCGGCGCAAGGCACGCTGGATCCCAGGCCACCAACGCTCATTCACGAAGTCGGCGACAACCCCATAACCTCTTTGCCCAACTGCATGCGCCAACCCAAGACTGACCCCTTCAATGAACATGCCCTTTCTTCCAAGCGCGTCTCCATTCGAAACGCTTCAACTAAGGTCGAAAGGTTTGCGGCTTGGTTACAAGTTACAACACAAGCTCCTCTCACCGCTCACCTCCTCCGCCCGCCCTCGAGCCTGCCACGCTCGCGCCGACGCCGCCATTTGGTGCGGTGCCTAGGAGAGAAACGACCCTCCTCCGACCTGGTTTCCGAACTTGGGACCCTCTGCTCAGGACGAGGCCAAGACATAAATAAAGACATGTCTAACAGTCTAACAGAGACGCCACATGACTGCTGCAAACCGCCTGTGGTTGAGGACCACGCCCAGGACGGCTGGGTTTGTTGCTCCCAGGCGATCGGTCTCGGCGGGCGACCGGGCCTGGACAGCGCTGCGGAGCTTCTCTGCAGGGTGCTTTCCACACTGAAACAGCATGGTCTGGGCGCATCCCGTGGCTGACACTGCAGAACCCCTGCAACTTTGGCAGAAACAACCGCCATGCCTCACAGTCCCACATCTACCGCTATGCAGCTCAAACCTGGGCGCCAGGCCGGATGATGCCCTCGCACGGTCACGACTCGGCACCGGAGCGCTGGCTGCCTCAAAGCGGAGGCGTGCTGGGCTCTTGTTGATTGTCAGCGCAGCTTCACCCGGGTATGTGATGGTCTGCAGATATTGGGAGTTTGGACGACGGTAATCGAGTGAGTCGGCAAGCTGCGGGGCGTGGCCGTGTTTTTTCCAAGCTACTTCGGCACATTTCGGCACCGTAAAGGCTTTATCGCCTGGAAACCTGCTATGAGGTTCATGCCTTAGCTGATTATCTGTACTCTTCCCACCAGCAGCGCTACTTGCGAAGTACCCGCAAACAGATAGCACTGAGCCCCGCACTCTGCTGCAGTGAAGAGCCTTGTCCCTGGACGCCGAAGCTTCCGATGCTCTGGAGGTTCATTCGTGTTTCTGATTCTGGGCTCCAGGATGTTCGTGGCACGATCGTCTGACTCAAGGTTGGGCCTGGTTTTGAGTTTGGCATCGAAAAGGACGGCTACTTGGCATATCAACACTCCGTCTTCAAGGCGGCTGTTCACCTAACACTAAAAAAGCTTGCTGTTCCTGATGTGAGTCCTATCTCTCGGCCTTCTCGGAACAACTGAACGCCTGCTCAGACAACTGGGTAGCAAACGACAACATAGACTCTGCAAGCCGGCAAACGGCTGAGGCGCGACCTTGTAATCCTCTCTTGTGCGGTACAAGTACCATTCGCAACATATCTGACACCATCTCATAAGTTTCATCAACATCGTCATCATCTTGTCGTCACCGTCACCACCACCACCGCCGCCGTCATGGTCGTCGTTTTTTATACCATTATCTTCATCGTCATCATTATCATCGCCATCAGCATCGGAATCGTTGTGATTGCCAGCGCATGCTTATTATCCTCGTTTGCGTTACAAGCGATCGTGATCATCTGACGCATAGGATGAGTTGCATCGCCAAGACCATCAACGAGATCTTCACCAACTTTGTTATGCATGCAGTCTTCAACGTGGGTACTGCAATGAGCGTAGAGCACAAAGACTGTATCTTGACTCGGACTCAAGCACTCATGCTGGTGATGACCCTTGATTTTCCAATCAGTCGCGCTTTCGCATGTGCCGAAACATGTTCGAGAAGAAGGCACGACCTGGCATGCGAGAATGTTCAAAGTGCTTTCGCCAGAACCCTGTGCCCCTAAAAGCTTGTTTTGGGGATCAAGGTTCAAGGTTCTAAAAGCTTCGGGGGCGAAGGGCTTAAGCTTTGACCGTTTGCGTCTGCAAGTTGTGGCGTGAAGATGCTGCATAGGTGAGCCTTCGCTTGTTGCTTCCCAGATTTGGGGATCAGGATGTGGGAAGTGTGGGGTTTAGGCTTGAGGGAGATAAAGTCGGTTCGGGCAGTCCAGAGGTTGCAGGCTTCTGCAGAAGGCAGAAGGGCTGTGCTTTACATCACTCGGAAGGAGTATTCGGATGTTGCTACTGTAAGATTTGTACATATTTCTACGATATTATGTACTACACCATGCAGACAAAGCGCTCATGCCTCAAAACATCTCAAAACATGACACCTAGAAATTCACACCTACTTCTGCTGCAAATTCGAAAACCTAGCCACTTAAACAAGTCGAGCTTGAAAGACGCAGGATCCTGGCTTTATCTCACCTTAAACTTGAAATCATACCTGCATGGACGTAGCAATGGCACATGCCCAACCGCGGCATGTAATTAGCAACTTTCACAAAATGAAGCCTACATACGCACGCAGTGGGCCGGCGCAAGGCGCGCTGGATCCCAGGCCACCAACGCTCACACACGAAGTCGGCGACAACCCCATAGCCTCTTTGCCCAACTGCATGCGCCAACGCAAGACTGACCCGTTCAACGAACATGCCTCTTTCCTTCGAAGCGGGCCTTCCATTCAACACGCTTCACTTAAGGATGAAAGGTTAAGCAAGCTCAGGTTAGCGCTCACCCCCACCGCCCTCCCTCGAGCCTTCCGCATTCTTGCTGAAGGCGCCACTTGCGGCGCTGCCTGGGAGAGAAGGGCTTCGAGACGGGCCCTGGGCCATGGCAAATACCCAAATAACAAAGGCTCCACACGACTACTGCAAACTGTCTGTGGCTGAGGGCCACGCCCCGGACGGCTCGGCTTCTCGGCCTGCGAACGCGATCTGTCGCGGCGAAACCCAGAGCCTGGACAGGGCTGCGGAGCTTCTCTGCAGGAAAGAACGTGGTCTGGGGGTATCCCGTAGCTGAATCTGCAGAATCCCTGCAACTGTGCCAGAAACATCCATGCTCACAGTCCCACATGTGCCGCTAAAGCTCAAACCTGAGTCGTGACTCTGCGGCATCTGCACCCGCACAGGAGTGCTGGCTGCCTCAAGGCGGAGACGTTGAGTGTCAGGGCAGCTACGCTCGGGTATGTGATGATGGTCTGCAGAAGTTTGGAGTTTCGACGAGCGTGGGGCGGGGCCGTGTTTTTTCAGCCTACTTCGGCACTGTGAAGGCTCCAACGCCTGGAAAGCTTGCTATGAGAGTTATTCCCCAAACAGGAACTGTTGGGGTTGGATGCGTGGAACACGGCTCTGGAGCTGGGGCCCCGCTGGATGGGTAGAACTCGGATCTATGTTCAAGCAATTTCTGGCTTGAACATGCTGCATAGGTGAGCCACCGTTGAAGTTCCAACATTTTCCGGTGTTCCCGGGCTCATGGACAACATCGTGGCAGCAAAGCTGCTAGCCTTCCGGCTGCGAAAAGCTCCCAAACCTATCCCATAAAAACTGCCTACCATCTGCATTCCGACTCATCAACAGATGTACCAACTACGGCCAGAAACACCTTCCGGTCCCTTTGGCACGCAAAGAATTAGAACCTGTTGAACATGCACATGCAAAGCTGCCATGCCAGTGTCTCACGGTTGCCTAACAATGTGAGGGACATCCTTCAGTGACGGATTCGAAGGCTTGCTGCTGTTGGTTGGGGTTTCGGACATGAAGCTTCTTTGGCACGAGAACGCAGCAAGTGTTCGAAACGAGGCACCAACCAAGGAGCTAGC